GCTGAAAATCAAAATTTTCATTTGACAGCAACGAACATAGACTGGTTCCCTGTCCTTGCCTAGTTGGCTCTGACAACAAAGGTGACTCAGATACCCATATGTAGCAAATAGAGAGCCAGCCTACTACATGTACTACAAACATTGATTATTCGGATACAAAGGTAAAAAAACCAGACGACAGCTTTAAAGTTTAATTCTGATAAACAAAAAAAAAACCCAACCGAATGACTGCAATTTAATGTTGAAAAAAAGTCGTTAAGTGTCTTTCATGATGTTTTTATTTTCTTCATATTCAATGTTAATACATTTTTATAATGAACTACTTAATGACCATGTCTGCGGAAACGACTTCTCCTTCCACATGGCTTCTTAGCTCGAGTGGTTGTAGGATGGTTAGCAGTGGTCGTGGTAGATTGTGTTAGTGATGTCGTGGTTGGAGTGTCCGAAGTGGTCGTGGTAGGTTGTGTTTGTGAACTCGTGGTTGGAGTGTCTGAAGTGGTCGTGGTAGGTTGTGTTTGTGAACTCGTGGTTGGAGTGTCTGAAGTGGTCGTGGTAGGTTGTGTTTGTGAACTCGTGGTGGGAGTGGCTGAAGTGGTCGTGGTAGCTTGTGATCTCGTGGTTGGAGTGTCTGAAGTGGTCATGGTAGGTTGTGTTTGTGAACTCGTTGTTGGAGTGTCTGAAGTGGTCATGGTAGGTTGTGTTTGTGAACTCGTGGTCATTTTGTCTGTAGTGGTCGTATCGTCAAAACATTCTTTTGGAATATTCCCTCCTTGTGGACAGACTATGCCACTATCTGATTGACAGTTAGATGGAGCTTCACAAGGAGCAGGATGTATTACATTTGGCGCTGGAGCTGAAATTGTTTTTGGACATCAAACATTTGATAAAGAACTATACTTAGTCTAGTAATCAATTTAACTGATATAGTTTTGGCTGTAACACAAAGTTTGTTGAAGCTTCAGTAAGTTTGATATCTTACTTTTATATACTATAACTATAATTTGGTTAAAACTCAGGATTATCGTACATTGTTACCCATTTACTTTGTACACATGGAAATGTGACGTGTCAGGTGCGTTTGACTTTAAAATCTTTGTTGATTAGGATAGCCGGTTGTCCCAGGTTAGGGGAGGGTTGGTGCCTTCAAACTAGTGTAGACCTGCCAAATATTGTATGTGTCTGCCTAAGTCATGAGCCTGTTATTCAGCTTGTTCATTGATTGTCGTTTGTTGCTGTTTACCATATTAGTTTTTCGTTCATTATTTTGAATTTAAATTCGGCCATTAGTTTTGAATTCTCAATTGAACTGTTTTGCATTTGTCATTTAGGGACCTTTTATAGCTTTTAGTGCGATATGGACTTTTGTTTATTGTTGGACGTATGGTGACCTATAGTTGTTAATTGCTGTGTCATTAGGTCTCTTTTGGAGAGTTTTCTCATTGTTAATCATATCACATCTTATTTTTATATTCAATCTGAAGGTCGGTTGCTGTCTTCATGTACTTCGATTTCCTCCACTTATATAAACTGACCTTAAAGAAATGACCAAGAAGGCTGAATGCCACGTTAAAACAAAATAAATTCTCAATCAATAATTATTGATGCGATTTGTATTCCACACGTTCTATCAGTGATATTAAAGAAAAAGGAAATACATTACCCTGACATTCTCTGATTCACTTTTGGCTAGTAAAAAAGTGAATTTATATAACCTTTGTTATACTTTTTAAAATACGTAGCAGAATGGATAACACTTTATAATTCCATTATGTTGTGAAATAAAAACTTTAAAATATAGCATTTTTTTAAAAGTCAATGATAAACTCGAAAAGAGAAAAATCTGTGATCATATTATCATGATTTTTGCTTGAAAAGATTTTGTAATTTGACAAAGAAGGATGACAATATTCATCTCAGTTCAACAGTATTTTTGGTGCAGTTCTATAACTCAAAGACTATTGCAAGCAGTCTTATGTTGCATGACAACAGTGTTCATTGAATACTATCTAACAAGTTTTATCAAGTAAATACAAACTGATTGTATGTTCACGTGATTCGTCTTATGGTTCATTTTGAAGGATTTGTACTTGAAATTTATAATGTTTTTCATTTTAAATCAATGAAAACGGAATAACGCAAAAAATTAACTAGCAGTTTGAAAAACAGTCTGAACCCTGAAGTCAAATTGTATAGATATCACTCAGAAGTAATTGACAATGACATAACTTTTTAAGAAAAATAAAAACAAAAACACTAATACAATTGCAACATCAACCTGTTATAAACGCAAACTATTCTTCCTCCCTTTTATATATACCAAATATAGTAGGGAAACAACAACTTTAAAAATATCCGCTCCTCTTGTTTTGAAGTGTTTTCCAGGTATTAAGAATACTATAGTTTTATCAGGGTATTGCCATTTTATTTTTTGCCAGCTAGCCACTACTTTTCTTCGCATTATGTTATTTAATACAGTTTAAACAATCATATTCAGAAATCTTATACAGTCCTTGTAATTGTTTCATAGTTTTTGGGAAAAAATGGTATTAATAATAAATGTATGAAAAATCTAGGGAGAATCATTTCCACACAAATTTCCAATAGCTTATAACTCGAAAACAAGCACACGGACCCTTCATTTTTTTCGCTTTTTTAGATCCTTTGATTTATATACTTTCGATTTAAAACAATTTTTCAAAATGCTTGGAATTATAAGACAAAGTAGCGAACGTCCTTAATTAGCAGCGAACTTTGTGTTTTCTTAAGCACGATACCGGCGATAAAAACATCAGATAAAGTTACAGCTACTCTGAATATAGAACCAAATTATGAAACTTCAAATTAATGTGATAAATGATTCCGTATGGGAAACCCAAATAAAAACCAGACTAAAAAACAGCAGGAAGTGCGCATGACCAATGGAATAATTTTGGAATATTCTGCAAATTTTCGAAAGACTCATATCAAACGTTTCAAGAAGATTTGGGGTAAAAAAAGTAACCCTATAAAAGCAATGGAACATTCATGATTTGTCAAGGGGAAATAATGTTATTTTATATTGTTATGATCTTGAATGTCAGTTTATTCCCAAATGTGGCATTAGGGAAATTGCGGATACAAATTATGTACCTCCGTATAAAGCAACTGCTTAGAGCGTTGTTTACTGAGGAAAACCAGAACAAATAGTTCGAGATGAAAACAAAATGAGGTGCACAATAACATGAATAAAATTATACGGTAAAGAATATTATTTTCTTTCACTAAATTCTGAGTACAGGTTTAGAAGAAGTAACGAACATACATGTGTTTTGCATTATGCTGTGATGGTAATGTCTATGTCAAGCCAAAGAAAACTTCAACGATTAATCGAACGAAGAAATGATATAAAAGGCGCAAAGTGTATAATGTAAATTGTTTCGGAACTAATGTATATTGTTAACTGTACTTACACGGTTGTTCTGTAAAAAAGGTAAACTATTTTTAAAAAGTAATAAGATAACCAGATGGCAATAAAGACCATTAGTTGACTTTCAAATAAAAAAGGTTAAACTAATAACAAATTCATTGTAAGCATTATAAGCGATAATCGTAATACGACTTAAGATATACATGCCTGGAATAGAACAGTTAAAGTTTTTCAAAACTTTTTTTAAACACATAAATTTGTGAAATTGACAGTGAATTTGCACACAAAACACTTAAAAATATTAAATTTACACAAAAAAGTTGCATCAATGACCCTTATACTCTAATGCTTTAGAATTATATGCAATTCTTATAGATGATGCATATTCCATAATTAATTGTGCCTATACAATGAAATAAATTAATTTTGGCGATGTTTTTTTAATCACGAGAGCCAATCTTTGTGAACTGGTAAATTTTCAGAATAACGAGTAAGCAATACCATTACTAAATGATAGATCAGGAAAATTTACTTAACACATCATAAAAAAACCTCAACCAAACGAAACACGAACTTAACCTCAAAATCTAGTATCTGCAGTTGCTCCAGAATGAAAAAAAAGTTCTTCTCAAAAAGTTTCATTATGCTTGCTCCTTGAGGGGAGTAAAATTGAAGTATGATTGCATTTTTTTATCAGGCATAAACAAAGGAAAACATTAGTTTCGAAATTGAAATCTATTTGCGTTCATCTGTCCTTGGGGTAAATCGTCAAAATCAGCATTGTGTATGATTGCATTCGTAAAAAATTCGAAAAAAAAGACTTTTCAATAACGAAACATGATTCAGAATTGGAGTACAAAATAATGAAGAAATAAAAATGAAACTTGTTATTTATGTACTAAGGATGGAACAAAGATATGTGATCATATTACGCAGCCTTTTTCCTTTTTTGAATATTATATAACATACACACACAAAATGATAATAAGTATAAAGGTGTCATGGTAAACATGCATTGACCATAACAATTTGCCATATTATAGCCTACATGTTTTAGCCACAAAAGGACAAATGTTGCATAAAATAACATCATATAAACATGGCTTATTCATTGCAAAGCCTTTCAAAACAAATATTACATTAATTAAAATATCTAGGTAAATGTACCAATTTAACTGATTATCTATACTACTAAAGGAAGAGACCGATTTCATTCAGCCTCAACTCATATGAAACCATACAAAATCGGAAATATTTGTGATATGACGTATACATGTAGTGTTTTGTACTTCCTAAATTTGTCTTTGAAACAATCCTTTTTCCACAAAAAACGCCAATTTTTTAGAAATATCCAAATTTGGAGACCGTTATGAATCCGTGTCTAATACACTTTTGCGCATGCTAAGTCGACGTACTGCCCGCGAAATTAAAAACTCTTTGTTTCAACACTTGCCCAATTGTACCGCAATTTGACGGGCATCTTCTAGTAATTATTATGTATGTTGGTTTAAACTCTTCGTGTCCATTATATACTATTTCGAATCGAATAAAAGCAGACGATGATAATCTTAAATAAATAATGTTACCTAATGCTAAGACTGTTTCAAAACCCGTAAAAGTCCCTGTTCCACAGATCTCACATAACTGAGTTTCAGTTAAGGCTACTGTTTGATTGAAAACAGGCCTTTCACTATCTGAAAGTAAATTTTATTCATAAAGATAGTATCAAACAAGATGTAACAATGAATTTTATAATATATAGTTGTTACTCAGACTTGTTACTTAACCATACCGATGGTTGCACGTAAAATATTCTATAAAGTGGATTAAGGAGGAAGTCCTTTGTAACACATTTGTATGCCCCTGACAGCAGACGTTATATTCAATGCTTTGAAATTTTGTCATTTTCTTAGTTCTATCTTTGTGATATAGATTATCTTTTAGCATTTGATTGTACTAGGATGGGTGTTCAGATCATATCTTTTAGAATATTGCTGTTTGTATTAAAAAACCAAAGACATACAATTAATTATATCATATTAACTATTTGATAAGCACTGAGAACTTATCACTTTATTATTTAATATATTTGTTTCCAATTCAATATTTTTAAAACCTTCGACATTTTTCTAAATGATATCAAAAGTCATTCCAAGGAGCTCTCCCCCCGTAAAGTGTACCTCATATTTCTTTCAAGTTTACTATATTTTACACAAGTTGCTGTGGTTAATCTTTTCATAAAGGCGTTCTGTTCTACGACCGCCGCTTTTGTTTCCGTTCTGTTAACTCTTTTATTTACAATATTGATAATGTTGCATAGATGTCAGATATCTGCACAGGCGTCATTTGGTCTCTTCTTTTTTTATGAATGTGATCAATGTTTTGTTTGTGATTGGAAATTTAAGGCATATATCTAAAAAAAATGCTAATCTGTATTATGTCGATTCAGTCTTTATTGATTCATAAGAGTTTACAAATAAAAAAGTTGAAATTCAAAGTTTATAACATTGTTTTTTTGGAGTAAAAAATGGAGTTAGAAAAATAAACAATATTTGTTAATTTATTAATTTTAAGAACTAATAGAGGGAGGATTTAATATTTGTGTTTGAAAGCACTCCCTTCTTAGAAAATATTTGTTTTATGAAAGATCCGTCAATTTCATAAAATATTAAGCCTTTGTTTAAAACATATTCTTATAGGTTAGTTTTACATACTAAATTACCTTTGAAATGCATGGTAAAATTTGATTGTCCAGAAGTGTAGAAGACTGGAATACAGAAAAACCAAAATACGTCGTTGCTTACATCAGTGCTCCTGAAGAAATATTATGTAATACGTCACATGTTTAATATAATGATGATTTTTTTAATTCATTAATGAAAATATGTCAATAACTCCGTACGACGGATATGCCTTGCGAACATAGTCAAAAATCTATTAAGCAAAAACAAATCCGGGTCACAAATCAAAACCGAGGGAAACACATCAATTTAACCTACGATTGATTCGGGAATTATGTATATAATTCAAAGTTCAAATTTATTCTAATAAGCCATGACTTGTTTAGTGAAATGAAATAATTTAAATGTCGGTATATCAAAAAAGGTGTGGCTTTAAATAAACCTTCCTGATTAGTTTTGTTTAAAATGTGTTATGAGCTAAGCCGATAGCAAGAATGAAACAAACCACGTCTCAACCCCTCCCCTCCTATCTCCGAATACCGCTCCAACAAAAACCTTTACCGAGCATAATGGTTTTTCTTTTGTAAATTGTGACTTGGATGGAGAGTTGTCTCATTGACATCCATACCATATATTCTTATATCTATCTATAACATGTGTATTTGCAAATACAAAACAGTGCATTCTGTATATCAATACCTTGTATTCCTGATGATAAGGAACTGTTCCGATATTTGAAAACACTGCATTTTTACCGTCGAAAAGATTGTTCCTGTCGTTCTATCAGCATTGAAAGTCATACTTGTCACAGATTCAATACTGTTGGATTTATTACGATAAAGAGAGAATGTCTTATTAATCCAATCACACGGAAATGTGCATGGAAACTCGGTCTGACCTGGAATTAATAGATTTGTTATAGTTTTGTTCATATACATTTAACGTTTAATTATTTTCAAATGTGTGCGTAGTGATTTTGTATGGAAATAGTCCCAAAACGTTCCCTTAATGTTCGGAGTTTGTACCTTTGCCAGAAAACCTTTTGACAAAAAAAATAAACTGTTAATAGGTTGATTGAAGATAAATGGACTGTGGAATCATATTCATTAAACAGATAAATGCCTTAAAAAAATATAAGGTAAAAAAAATATGATACGAAAATTTCAGTCTGATTTTGTTACCCCCAAATGCACAGTTATTGCCACATTATTATAAAACTTATATCGAGTTCGAACATCAGTGCTGATCAACATTTTTAAAATAGTTATGCCCCTTTGGAAACTTTATTTCTTTGTAAAATTGAATCGTTATCACTCTTTTGTATACAGTTCTAGTCATATTTTTATGAAATTTATTTAACTGTTTATATCAGCAATGTCGCGGACGAGTTCAAAAATCAGTGCCGATCAACTATTTTGAAAAGATTTATGCCAATTTGAAGCATTAAGAGCAATTCTCTGTAACCACCAACCATTTTATATAGGGGGGGGGGGGGGGGGGGGGGGGGGTCGGCACGCATAGTCACTAATTTTCCTGAAACTTAGCCAAAACATGTAATCATGTAAAAAAAAGAAAAATGCCCACCGAAATGTTGCTAGGCCACGGTTGCCATGGCAACCAAGTAAATGAGTTTTGCCGTACATTTTGAGGAATTTAGCATCGAAAAAACAATTACTTTGCAGTCTTTCAAAATCAAAACCAGGTTTTATTTAATGATTTTTGTAAATATTTTTCAGAAACATGAAACTTAACAAACATAACAGCAATGTCATATAAACAAATTTTTTTTGCTGAATATTGTCACAACCGCAGAAGCAGAGGTCATTTTTCATAGTATTTTAGTAGACAAATTATACACATTTTGCATGAACAAAATATACATTTTTGCATCCATCTCCATTTAAGCTGTGGTTATAAATAAAAAGTATCAATGTTTATAATAAAAAAATAATAACAAAATATTTTGGATATTGGGTTCTAGGATGATTGCTATGGAAACAAAAATGTGTCATTTTTGCCCTTTTACCTCTGAAATTTGTCTATGTTATTAAGATAATCCACAAAAAGTAATAACTATTGAATGACTATAATGTGCAAACTATTGGCAATAAAATTACCATAAATTTGCCCAAAGTTCAAAGGTTATTGATGACCTTGACCTTTGACCTTGTGTATATTTATTAAATTTTGAAAGGAAATATTATAGAAAGTAGCATACCGTACATGGGGAAATTTATTAGGACGTTTCAAGTCACTAGTTTTTTTAACATATAAACAATAAGAAGTCAAGGTCATGTCAAAAGTGCTTAGCAACCGCCTTTATTTGATAAAAAATTACCTAGTACCCATACATGATTTGATTCAGGACTATATAAACTATTACATATACCTTACCTAAAAGGTCTAGGGGGTTGTCTTCCCATTAGTTTTAAACAATCATTCATTTAAAGTTGAAAATTGCCAAGCAACCACTTATCTATATTTGAAAAATGCCTAGCAACCATTTATTTATATAGGAACAATATATTTTCGGTTTCATTGGGACAAAAATCATAAAAATAAATTATATTAGACATGCAGTTTTCTTTAAGAACACATGTTTAATCCAGAATAGTAAATTATATGGCAAATTCAATTTCCAGAGACTGATTACAATTTCAAATACAAAAATTAGAGATGTCGTACGGTTGCCAATGAGACAAATCTTCACAAGACACCAAAGGTTATTTTTAAGACAGATCCCTAGATCTACAAGAACAAGAGAAAAGGAACATAACTGCTAAAACGACGACCAGTTTATTTATGTTTGGGGTTGGGCTTTCGTACAAGAGGTTTTGCATAGACAGAATAATCATTTTCACTTGTTATAAGGCTGATTTACTTATTTTGTTTTTTTTTTCGTTGAAAAAATTAATTTTCATTGTGTACACACATTTTTCGTATTTCAAATCGTATGTGGCTGATGTGCATCTGAATGTAAAGAAAATTCCTTTTCAGCATGTCTTGTGCAATATTATTGATCTTTAGTTCTAAACACCATCACATTCATTTCATTAAGCTTCCATTTTCCAAATCACAAAATATAAAATGATCCTTCCTAACTAATAGAATTACCCTGAATCCGCTCAATTGTTATGTTTGTATTTCAACAGTGGATGATTAAAAAAAAAGCTAATAACTCATTCTTAAAGAAAAGGACGTTGTGTGTTCTGCAAAATTTATTTTTGTAGGTCACATGGCCCACAGATCAAGTGATTTGTTTCATAACATTGCACTGGTCGTCGTTAACTTGTTCAAAAAAATCTTCTCTGAAACTAATAAGGTAAGCAAACGGAGTATGCCCAGCAAGACCCCTTCTTGGGCCAAACATATACCGTTTTTACAAAGTTGTTAAAATATAAACTTTAAGCTATTTATAAGAAAGTAGAATACTTTTGTTAGATAAATATGGGTCGTTTTTGACAATACAATGGACAAGCATCAGGTACTAGAATCATTATAACATACAAAAATACTGAAATTTTAGCATCTGTGCTAAATGTAAGACAATGTTTTGTCTTAAATGGAAGTGACGGCACTAGTGTTCAGTCTTAATATTATAAAAATATTGTATTTAATGAAAATACATTACATATATAAATGTTGAGACTGAACATGAATTCGGCCACTTCCAGACAAAAACCATCTTTAAAGTGACGTTAAATGGCATATTTGATAGAGTTTTCATATTTAAACTTGAATTTAATCATTTGTAATGACCAAATCAGTTCAAATCTTCAACACAAACTGATTGAATCTAGTGAAGTACACACTTAAGTGTTCAAAAATGTAAAACATTTTCCCGCAAAATTAGCCCTTACCGGACTTCTCCTTAAACCAGAATTGGCAACAATCATCATTAGAGTATGAACTTTAAAAAATGTGTCTCATGATGACTAACATGGCTAAATTTGAATATAGGGGTTGAATGCAAGTTTAAATTGTCTATCATCATGAAAACTGTTGTAAATACAGAAAACCCTGACTCCGAGTGATGGTATCTACCTATTGTCTGTTTACATCAAAACTGTTGGACAACTTCTTACTGGAGTTTCTGCCCTTAAATGATGAATTGTAACATTTTTTCCCCGTTTTTTCCCATTATCTTGAAAACAATAATAGATAAAGAGAAACATTTAATATAAAAATGATCAGCAACACCAGATCTATAAAAAAAGGACTTGGTTGAAATCGTCAGCTTATTTCTTTATTGGAGTTATTGCCTTTTTAAAAACGATTTTGTTTTTGAGTTTTTGTCTAATATAAAAAAAAATATCATAATAAATAGAAGGAACTTTAAGTCACAAAAATTATCAGCAAGACAAGATTATAAATAATTCATCATAATTAAATTCGTTTGACGACCCCCTAATTAGAGTTATTACCATTTAATGACGATTTGGGGTAACAATCGTCATTCAGTATTTACATATATATTAATAAAGAATTAGCTATGTACATGTATAGCTAAAAGAGTAAAATAAATAAGAAATTTACAAGAAAAGTGCTGTTATTTGTCTCTCTTAGTAACCATTTAAGGGCAAAACGCCCATATGGAGAAAAAAGAAAAGTTCGGATATGTTGATTAATTAGTCTGGTTAGTAATTTTTGCGTCCATTTATCCATAATAGTTTTCAAAAGAAATAACTTTTATTTGCTATAATATATTACTTTCTATCCATTCATTGAAGTTTGCGAGGCTCGCAAAATAAAAAAAAAAGTGTGTTAAACTTAAATTTCTTTAAACTGTTTTTCTAACTTTTTATATTAAAACAATTATGAAGTAAAATAACTGCGGGATTTGCTTAAAGCTGGCATTTAATTCTGTCAAGTTGTTTTCAAGTTGTTTTGAAAATTTTACGATTGATAATATTCCTGTCTTGCTCTTACTATTTTAAATATACATGTATATGTGCCTGGAACAAACAGCATTTGTATTTCAAATGAGAACAGGAGACACAGTGGCTGGTGTTTAACTGAAACTCACATGAGTAAAATCATGTTTGTGAATTAATTAAGAAACAATTACTGTTCTTATAAGGAATTCGAAAGTCTCATTGGAAGAAAGAATTACAAGTTTAGTTTCAAAATTTCGGAATTTTTACCTTAGACACCAATACAATGATGGTTGCTAGGCATTTTCTAACTATATGAGAAGGCTGCTTAAGTCTATGTTGACAATATTGGCGCCTTATATTTTAATTAGGATCTATAACATAGTTCATATTAATCTGAACCCAACTATGCATGGTTGCTAGGTACTTTTATATCAAGTAAGGGTCGTCGCTAAGAACTTATGACATGACCTTGACCTCCAGCAATTTGAACACTTTTTCCATATACTGTATGGGTTTTTTTGTTACAAATTCTTAACAAATTTAATAAAAAAAAAAACTGAAGGTCAAAGGTCATCAATAACCTTTGACCTTTGGGTCAAACTTAAGGTCTTTCAATGCACAACATGTTTCAAGTGATTTTTATCCTTTATCTGTCACAGTTTTTGAGCAATTTTAATAACAATGTCAAAATTCTTTTACAAAATAACAAAAATGATATTTTTACGTTTCCATAGCAACCAGCCTAGCAACCTATTTCCCAAACCTTTAGTTATAAATTAGTCCTAGGCAACAGTATACCTAAGTATATATGGTTGTGGATGCAAAAGTGTGAAATTATGTCATGCAAAATGCCTATAATTTGCCTTCTTGAATACATTGAAAACTCCATTATTTAAATCAGTGCTACCACCTACTTCCCTTTTTATCAGAATTAATTTTTATCTTTCATCTTACTCATTAAGTGTTATATTTTAAT